TGAGTTAGCTCCTATTGCAGATAAGACTGCCGAGACAGTAGCTAAAGCATTTAAAGAACGCATTATCTGCAGGCATACCACCCCTAAGTCTTGAAAATTTGTGTACCTTGTACAAGATCTCTAAATCCAACTTTGTTCCTCACCATCCTGCCAACAATGGGTTAGTGGAACGAACCAGTAAGAAAGTACTTGATGTCTTGAGAGCCACTATCAATCCCAATAGTGAAACCTGGGATGAAGTTATACCTGATGTTCAATGTGCCAAAAATTCTGCTTACAATGCTTCGATAGGTGACACTCCACATTATGCGTTGCATGGTGTAGACAAGCATTTGCCTTACGAGTTATATTCTGCACCGAAGCCCAATTACAACCATGATGATTTCATAGCAACTTGTACCAGCTTAGCTCAAAGTGTTTTTAGAAGAATCCGTGAGACACTTTGCAAGTCAACAGCAGAATTTACAAGAGTAACTAATAGCCGTGCTAAGCCAACCAAAGTTAAAGTGGGTTCGAGAGTAATGCTAACTTAAACAAAACATCTGCAATGCCTAAGCTTGATCAAAAGTTTGTTGGTCCTTATCAAGTAGTTGAACATATCAATGGCAATAAGTATAAGGTTAGAGAAATTAGTACTGGTCAGTATAAAGAATTGCATTTAGATTATATGAAGTTAGTATGTGATGTTGAGGATGTTTCAACCCAGACTAATGTGACAGACCCTGACAATCCTCCTGACTCTGTACCCTCTACCTCTAATGCTCAGTCAGACGATCAACCTGAATGTCGTTATTCTTTGCAAACACGACAAGTAATGAGAAACCCCCAAGTATCCTTTGTAGATACTTGTTCAGATCTCCCTTAGTCAAGGCATGTGTTAGCCATTGCAAAGGAATTCGATCCTCCCAAAGATGATAACCATTCTGCATATGTAAATCTTACCCTCGCAGAGTTGGGTTTAAATGTACATGGCCTGTATAATTAGATGTCCAAGATGAATGAAGTTGTCAACTGTGTGTTTTGTTATTAGCGGATTAGTTTTCAGAATTTTTTTTGTGTTCACGTTCCCTCCGAATTCTGAGAATTTAGCAATAATGATCTGAGTGCACCAGATCTGTCTTTGCTGTTAATTACTTTCACCTCGTCCTCGCTCCAACTGTAGGTCTATGAGAAGGCAACACAAGCAGTCTGGGCTCCCCTCTCACACTCTGCTAATATAAGTGTTACCATCCAACAAGTGTGTTTAACTCCATCACATCTCCATGAACCCTCCCAACACATGCACACACACACACACACACACACACACACACACACACACAAGCGAGGCATTAAACTATAGACCAGTGTCACTGACTGGAATAGTATGCAAAGTCATGGAGAAGATTATCGGGAGGAGAGTGGTGGAGCACCTGCAATAGGACAGGATGATAAACGACAACCAGCACGGATTCATGGAATGCAAATCCCGTCACAAACCTTCTGGAGTTTTATGACAAGGTAACAGAAGACACAAGAGAGAGGGGTGGGTCGACTGCATTTTATTGGACTGCAAAAAGGCCTTCGACACAGTTCCTCACAAGAGATTAGTGCAGAAGCTAAAGGATCAGGCACGTATAACAGGAAGGGCACTGCAATGGATCAGAGAATACCTGACAGGGAGGCAACAACCAGTCATGGTACGTGATAAGGTATCACAGTGAGCGCCTGTGATGAGCGGGGTCCCACAGGGGTCAGTCCTATGACCAGTGCTATTTTTGATACATGTGAATAACATAATGGACGGGATAGACTCAGAAGTGTCCCTGTTCACAGATGTGAAGTATATGAGAATTAAATCAGATGAGGATCAGGCAGGACTACAAATGTCATGTGAGGGTTCGAAACATGGATTGGGTAATAAACACATGTTGGATGTTCTAGTATATTGGGTGAAATATATGGGGAGCAACAGGCCTGACCTACATCTCTCTGCTCTCTATCCTTAAGACTGACTCACGAATGATGCCTAGGGGTGAGCGGCATTCAAAAACATGCTATGGTCAGCTGCAACAGTGAATAACAAGTGATTCACACAGAGGGCTGGTAGTGAGTCATACTACTGGTAACTGGTAACTGATACTACTGAGATAGAGAGACCTGGACAGGCTGGACACCTGGTCCAGCAATTGGCTCCTCGAATTTAACCCCTCCAAATGCAAAGTCATGAAGATCGGGGAAGGGCAAAGAAGACCGCAGACAGAGTATAGGCTAGGTGGCTAAAGACTGCAAACCTCACTCAAGGAGAAAGATCTTGGGTAAGTATAATACCGAGGACGTCTCCGGAAGCACACATTAACCAGGTAACTGCTGTAGCATAAGGGCGTCTGGCAAACCTGAAAATAGTGTTCCAATACCTCAGCAAGAAATCGTTCAAAACACTGTACACCATTTACGTCAGGCCCATACTGGAGTATGCAGCACCAGTTTGGAACCCACACCTGGTCAAGTACGTCAAGAAATTAGAGAAAGTGCAAAGGTTTGCAACAAGGCTAGTTTAAGAGCTAAGGGGAATGTCTTACAAAAGAAAGGTTAAGGGAAATCGGCCTGACGACACTGAGGACAGGAGGGTCTGGGAGAGACATGATAACGACATACAAAATACTGCAAAGAATAGATAAGGTGGAGAGAGACAGGATGTTCCAGAGATGGGACACTGAAACAAGGGGTCACAATTGGTAGTTGAAGACTGAGATGAATCAAAGGGATGTTAGGAAGTATTTCTTCATGTAGAAAAAAAACTGCTAAAATTCCACCATCTTCCCCTTCTCGTGGTTTATATCAAGCTCAGGCTGCCCTGCATCCACCACCAGAATTATATAAACCACGAGGAAGGCGGAAATGTCTAAGGCGTGGGCAAACTATTAGAATATGTTTCACCTTTGATATACCTTTGATGAGTTCCGAGTTTTTCTACTCTCGGAGCTCGGTCATGGGCCAGGCTCGTCTGGTGATTGCATGGTCAACCAGGCTGTTGCTGCTGGTGGTCTGCTGACCCACATCCATCGCAGCCTGGTTGATCTGGCACCAGCAGTATGTCACAAGTAGCTTCCAGGTGATGTAACAATGCTGGGTGAGGTCTGACAAAGACCCACTCCGACCTCTGTAATCCTCTTTTTTGCACTACCGCTCACAGGATGAGCCGTGGGTGCACAACCAACTAGCTGCTCAGCCAATATAACTAACTTTTCGGGCTGTGCCCTAGGGCGAAGTGGAGAATGAAGTCAGATTGGCTTTAGGGGACGTACGGGAAGAGTAGGTAGAGCTATGGTACAGTGAAGTGGGACAGGTCTTCCTGTTGTGAAATACCGTGAAACAAAAACTGACAGTATGTGTTGCGAACAATCTTCAGAGAGAATGCACCGTGAGACACTACTACTTTAATCAAGACAACGGATATCATCGAGGTAATTCCTACCACACGCCAGGGAAAACCTTGCAGGTCCGATACATATATCCAGGTAAGTCTAGTCGGTTATGAACCTAGTTAGGTCGGCTGCACAGCTGATAGCTAGGGCATAGCATGTCTAGATTTACCAAAATACCTCGTTATTTGTGGGCCACCGAGCCCAAAAAAGTAATCATCTAATCAGCATTGTACCAGTGAAATGCTGAAACATATGCTCCTCTGAGGCAATTATATATACTGTAGATTACTTGATTTCCCACAGCCCAAGGGTGGTAGCATCGACGGCTCCTGGAAAATGACCGGAGGCGGCTGCAGGACGATGAGCCGTCATTCAAGGTAAGTACCTTTCTACAGTCCTTTAACTTGCTTGTCTCTACACCTCCATATCCCTTACACTGGCTGCCTTCAAGAGGGAGCCATCCAGATACCTAAAGTCGGTGCCAGATCAGCCGTGCTGTTGTTCGTATGTTGGTTTACGTGCGGCCAGTAGTAACAGCGTAGTTGATCAGGCCCTGATCCATCGGGAGGTCTGGTCATGGACCGGACCACGGGGGTGTTGATCCCTGGAATACCCTCCAGGTAGAAGGATGGTGACACCGTGGTCTACCCACAGCCTCTCTGCTTTTTATTAGGCTTATTCCACACACTTATATTTTTCACTCCAGTATGTTTGTACAGTTGTGTGCAGGTTAGGAACCAATTTCTCAAGTATCATATATGTATACTACCAAGTATCTTTTTCTCGGATCCTGAGGGAGCAATACAAGTGCTCTGAGGCATCCCCCATCATTCAGATAACTTACTGATTACATGCGGACAGTATAAAACCTCTCTACATTTTCCAGCTCTGCTCTCTCTCTCCTGCCTTGAAAGGAGCCGTGAGCACACAACGTTGGGATGCAAGGTCAGTGTATGATTCCTCATGAAGATATCACTACCACTACCACCATTACTGTCACTGTCTGACAGTCGTTGTCTGATGACCACCATCACTACAATGTTATCATCACACCCACAAGGAAAACGATAGGTAGAATAACTTGAACCTTCTAAACAGGAGAAGCCAAACCAGTGGTAATACTCTGGTTATTTCTTCTCTTTAGACTAAAATGTTATAACTAATAAACTCTTCTAAAACCAAGCGAAATTGCATTGATGGATAATTTACAGAGGACCTTTTTGTCTGTTTAAATTCAGTCAAGCACCTAAAACTGGGGACACCTGAAGTCTCTCAAACTGTACTCCTTGAAACGTAGGTGAGAAAGATGCATCATAATTTATACCTAGAAAATTCTAGAGGGATTAGTCCCAAATGTGCATGCCGAGAGAGCTGTTTGTGTACACGCGCGCACGCATAGGGAGAGAGAAGTTTTATGGACTTACATTTACCTAATTTTAAGTGTATAATCTTGTAGCCAACTCACCTGCACAAACTGCGCAATTCCTCCGTTTATAGTCGACAGGAGCAAAATGAAGTATATTTTATCAACTTGTAATAATGAGTCGTTATGAATCGTCAATAAAAAGTAACTGAGGGAGGTTTTGTACTCACGTGTATTGAGGGTTGATCTCTGAGAGGCCCGACCCATGATGGAAGCTAGCAGTGGGTGCCACAGTAGGGAGCGTTGAAGCAGCAGCAGAGGCAGGGGGTCAAACTAGGTCTTGTTGGCCACTACACGGTAAAGTTACTCTTAGTGGGGTGGCTATCACTACAGGGCAGCGAGACGAGGTAGCAGCAGCCTGGCAACACGGGTGAGACCAGCTACGGGCCGCCACTGACACCAGGATCACAGCAATAAGGACGCACAGGTAGGTTGGTTTGAAGGTGTCGTAGAGCTACTACTGAGGCTGCATAGTTTGATTTCTGTCACTACTGCAGGGTGTGGCCTGAGGGTCACTACTAAATGTTATGACCTGAGGATCACTATTGGAGGGTGTGACCTAAAGGGTCACTAGGATGTGATCCTAGGGTCACTACTGGAGAACGTGGCTTGATACCCACTACTTTACGTTGTGACCTGAGGGTCACTGCTGGCAGGTGTGACTTATGGGTCAGTACTGAGGGTGAGTAGTATGACCTAGAGCAGAGGGTGGCGGCTGCAGCATGCAGCTAGGCGAGAGCCTGTTTAAACGCCACAGCCAGACCCGACACCAGGGTTGCACCGCCATCAACACTGAAACAAACAAAAACATTATTTACATTCATAAACTAATGACAACATACACAGGAGACAGTAATTACCATCATAGAGACAGCTTCGTCACTTTAACTTTACTAATGTAACACTGCAGTTTAAAATATGATTGTTAACATTAATATGTTAGAAGCAACATACTAACTGTTGTGTAATATTTAACAAAACACATCAATACTCTCTTAGTCCTGAGATGTGTCATGACCACTGTCACCCACCCTCTGTGTCATGACCACTGTCACCCACCCTCTGTGTCATGACCACTGTCACCCACCCTCTGTGTCATGACCACTGTCATCCACCCTCTGTGTCATGACCACTGTCACCCACCCTCTGTGTCATGACCACTGTCACCCACCCTCTGTGTCATGACCACTGTCACCCACCCTCTGTGTCATGACCACTGTCACCCACCCTCTGTGTCATGACCACTGTCATCCACCTTCTGTGTCATGACCACTGTCATCCACCTTCTGTGTCATGACCACTGTCACCCACCCTCTGTGTCATGACCACTGTCACCCACCCTCTGTGTCATGACCACTGTCACCCACCCTCTGTGTCATGACCACTGTCACCCACCCTCTGTGTCATGACCACTGTCACCCACCCTCTGTGTCATGACCACTGTCACCCACCCTGTGTCATGACCACTGTCACCCACCCTCTGTGTCATGACCACTGTCACCCACCCTCTGTGTCATGACCACTGTCACCCACCCTCTGTGTCATGACCACTGTCACCCACCCTCTGTCATGACCACTGTCACCCACCCTCTGTGTCATGACCACTGTCATCCACCTTCTGTGTCATGACCACTGTCACCCACCCTCTGTGTCATGACCACTGTCACCCACCCTCTGTGTCATGACAACTGTCACCCACCCTCTGTGTCATGACCACTGTCACCCATCCTCTGTGTCATGACCACTGTCACCCACCCTCTGTGTCATGACCACTGTCACCCACCCTCTGTGTCATGACCACTGTCATCCACCCTCTGTGTCATGACCACTGTCACCCACCCTCTGTGTCATGACCACTGTCACCCACCCTCTGTGTCATGACCACTGTCACCCACCCTCTGTGTCATGACCACTGTCACCCACCCTCTGTGTCATGACCACTGTCACCCACCCTCTGTGTCATGACCACTGTCACCCACCCTCTGTGTCATGACCACTGTCACCCACCCTCTGTGTCATGACCACTGTCATCCACCTTCTGTGTCATGACCACTGTCACCCACCCTCTGTGTCATGACCACTGTCAACCACCTTCTGTGTCATGACCACTGTCACCCATCCTGTGCCATGACCACTGTCACCCATCCTGTGCCATGACCACTCTCTTGCTATAATGACTATATATCGTCATTATCACTATCGACAAGAGTGGATTTTTGGAAAATTCGGACTGAAAACACCATTGCCATATCTGGTCGGAAACGTCAACACGAATCAATATTCTAAACGAGAAAACAAGTGATTTGAGCAGTGTCACCCCTAGAACAGTTTCCTGCTTACAGGTTCTCGTTATCCACCTCCGTCATCTTCCTGGCTGTGACATTTACCTGATCTTCCTTGAAGGAAAGGACAGCCGACTTGATTATTTCATGATGCTATAGGGTTCTGTACACAGTATTCCTTTCGAGTTCTTCGTTCTTTCCATACCTAAGCAGCTGGAACTTACCAGCTGCTTTATATTTTTCTGCATTTTTTCAAGTCTTCTACCGTGGTGACTTTCATGCTTATTTTTGTGTCATCTGTGAATGATACAAAATTGTGGTGGGTGTTTTTATCTGTCTGTTATGAGGACAAGAAACAGCAGAGGCGCCAATGCCTTGGGGTATTGGGTTTTTACCTCGCTAATGCTGGATTTTGCTGTTTAGTACTACCCTTTGTGATTGTTACATGCAAAGAGTATGTAATCTTTATTCGGAACATGTTAACATACACAGGCTACCTTACCAACCAGCGAACCAGATGCTAAGGATCTGACAATCCAACAGAGCCCCATCATCAGATCAGTATCTAGGTTCAGCCAATGAGAAGGTGGATCTGGCAATTGTGAAGGTGACGTGGTTACCACTCACGTTTTCACCCTTGTCATTTCCATTCTAGTGCTGGTTGAAGCACGGTCTGCTTTCTCTTGGTTGCTATTCTTCCTTGATTACTGTGGTGTGCACTAATACCTATTGCTGTACATAGAGTACATACTGTGTATATACACTGTACATAGTGTATACACTGCTGTTTATACTTGAAGGATAATATAATTCAAAATTTTTCTGCTGTGTTTATTTTGCTCCCTTTATATCCAGGATAACAGGCCTTTGAGAACCTGGATTGTAATAGTGATCAATCTGTCAGAAAGTTGAAAACCCATTTGCCTACCTTTCCAGTTATGCCTATGGCCCTCATCTAAAGTGCAATCAAATTATCACATTTGTCAAATGCCTTTACAAAATCCATGTATATCACACCTGCGTTTTGGTTTTCTTCCATCGGCTCCATAATTCTGACACAGTGGTTTAGCAGTTGTGACAAGTGTAATTTCTCTGCTGTAAAACTTTGCTGTTTTGGGTTGTGAAGACTGTTCCATTAAATTTGCATTTTTTCATCTCATCACTTTTGTGGGACGTTAGGGCTACGGCTCTATAATTTTTTTGCAAGCTCTGTAATGCTTCCTGTATGCAGAGGAGCTACTCATGTCTGCACTCTGTAACGTCTCTGGTATTTCACTTAGATGTAAGTTCTTTCTCCAAAGGATATTGTGTGCTTGTGCTATTGGCATTCAGATGGATTTTTTTTTTTTTTTTGCATTCTCCACTCTACTTTCATTTAGTGGGTTGCTGAACATCGATTTATATTGGTCTTTTAGAATCTCATTTCCTATTCATCATCCATGTATGAACCTTCGTTATTAATGGTCTGATTCTACAGGCAGTTCCTAACTTAGATTCTGCATTTGTCAATAAATATTTGTAGTTTCTTTGTGTAGTTTTCTTTGTGCTTTTAGTCTGTCTTGATCTCTTAGCTAAGTTTATCCTTCCTTCATTGTGACATTTTCACAATAAACAATTCGGTAACGCTTTGTCTTCTTCTGTACAGTCTTCTACGCTCTATTTTCATATTTGTTCTTCCAGATTTCCTTCATGGTACATATGTGATAAAGGGTTTAAAAACCAACAAGGTGAAGATTGAGACACTTATGCAACATATGGGAATCTTTATTGAAGAAACGTTTCGCCACACAGTGGCTTCATCAATTCATCAATCTTGTAGAAAGCACTTTTTGCAAGATTGATGGACTGAACACATCGACTCCACTCTGAGGGACTGATTACCGCAAACTCCTCCTCTCCTTGCAAGTTTCTGCTTTGTATTGGACTGATGAAGCCAGCTGCTTTACCCCCTTTCATTCTACGTAATGCCTCACGCACCTCCCCCACACTCACATCCTGCTCTTCTTCACTTCTAAAAGATGGTATACCTCCCTGACCAGTGCATGAAATTATCGTCTCCCTTACATCATCGACATTTAAAAGTTCCTCAAAATATTCCCGTTATCTACCCAATACCTCCAGTTCCCCATCTACTAACTTCCCTACTCTGTTTTTAACAAATACATTCGTTCCCTAGGCTGTAACGTATCCCACTCCAATTTTTTTTTTCTTATTTTCATCAAAATTTCTTGCCAGTGCCTCTCCCACTCTATCATCTGCTCTCCTTTTGCACTCTCTCACTACTCTCTTCACCTTTTACTCTGCATATACTCTGCTCTTCTTACAACATTTCTGCTTTGTAAAAACCCCTCATAAGCTACCTTTTTCTCTTTTATCACATCCTTTACTTCATCATTCCACCAATCACTCCTCTTTCCTCCTTCATCCACTCTCCTATAACCACAAACTTCTGCCCCACATTCTAATACTGCATATTTAAAACTATTCCAACCCTCTTCAACCCCCCCACCACTACTCATACTTGCACCAGCCCACCTTTCTGCCAATAATTGTTTATATCTAACCCGAACTTCCTCCTCCTCCCTTAGTTTATACACTTTCACCTCTCTGTTACTTGCTGTTGCCATTTTCATTTTGTCCCATCTACCTCTTACTCTAACTGTAGCTACAGCTAAATAATGATCCGATATATCCGTTGCCCTTCTATAAACATGTACATCCTGAAGCCTACCAATCAACCTTTCATCCACTAATTCATAATCTAACTACTTTCATTACGTGGTATATCATATCTTGTATACTTATCTTGTATACTAATCATTTTTCATTTCTATGCTTCAAGTAGGATTAATTTCTAGAGAATGTACAGAGAACCTTCACAGCACACAAGTTCCATGAAACACCTTAACTTCAGGGAATTCTTGGAAGCACTTGACTTGTACTCGCTGGAACGCAGGCGAGAGATATAATCTACACTTGGAAAATCCTAGAAGGAATGGTCCCGAATCTGCACACAGAAATCACTCCCTATGAAAGCACATGGCTGGGCAGGCAGTGCAAAATATCCCTAATGAAAAGTAGGGGCGCCATTGGTACAAAAAGAGAAAACACTAAGTGTCCGGGGCCCAAGACCGTTCAACAGCCTCCCACCATGCATAAGGGAAATTACCAATAGGCCCCTGGCTGCCTTCAAGCGGGAGCTGGACAGATACTTAAAGTCGGTGCCGGATCAGCTGGGCTGTGGTCGTACGTTGGACTATGTGCGGCCAGCAGTAACAGCCTGGTTTATCAGGACCTGATCCACCGAGAGGCCTGTTGTGGACCGAGCCGCGGGGGCGTTGATCCTCGGAATAGCCTCCAGGTAGACTCCAGGAAGTGTTTATTATCTTATGTCGTCACCGATTTTTCAATATTTTCATTTGCCTAAGGAGGAACCAGCCTTATCAAATACTCTTTGAGGGTCTAATAGAACTGTTGAATCTTCACATTACCTTGAAAAGGAGATGGAAT